TATCGGTGATGTCAGGAGCAAAACAGTTGGAATTCCATATGGTCTAAACTATTGTTGAAACAGTGGGACAGGTGCGTGAAACCCGTAAAGGGCCTGTTTCCAGTAATGTTAATTCTCCATAGGAGCCTGCCCCCGTATAATTTCTTATCTAGCTCAACTACTGTTTTTTTTTTCTTTTCCGAAGAATAATTTTACACCTTTCCGACACCCAGATTTCATAATTTCAGTGAAAATGTATTTTTATAAAGTTGTCAATTTCAGCATCAAAGACATAAGTTCGTAAATAAAAGAAGGTTATCTCGAAATTGTAATTCGCAACATAGTATAAATTTCTTTTGATAAATATTTCCAAAACATCGTGTTTATTCATAAAACATAAAAAAAANGAGCTTTACTTGTTTCATATGTGTACCAAAAATCAGCTAATTCCATGTGGTGGAACGTTCTCATATCGCCGCCTGAATGTGGTTGTAAATTGAAAGAAAAGGGGAAATGAGTAACAACCTTGTCTGAAACCCTATTATATAGCTTATTATATACAAACTTTTATATTGAATATCAGAGCGGATATTTTCATGACAGTTTTATGATGTGTAACGACTAAATAAACAGTATCGATATAAAGATTTACACTGAGGACACCCTGATACATGAATACTGTTCTATCTCAAGTTGTCCTCTTCTGAATTTTCTGATCGTGTGGCCTTGTACATTTATCCGTATCTTCTTGTCTTTGTCTATACGTTTACGGAATCATTGACTCGACGCTAGCTATTCTTGTCTCACTTTCCTTGTTTTATTGTCCCATCTCCAAAGCGTTGTGGCTCTGTCAGGGTTGGGACCCTGACTTGTCTCACTTTCTTTGTGCCTGCCGACCACGCCACATCGAATAGATAGATTATCCATATGAAATACTTTATTTTGTTCTAAGTAATCAATCAATTCTGCGCTTCTTGGAGGTATTGAATGTGATTTATTATATTGTCTTGTTATTTTGTGTAATTAGTTGTTCGTTATTTATCACACATTTTCGCATAATTGTACCAAACTACTAAGTATTAGCTGTTTACAGCAATCATCGGTGGCTTGCTATTTTGTTACTTTATCGACGCTTCATAAACCAATCGTTATTGTTTCAAGATGGAGGGTAAATGTGTTGGAGAAGGGTGTCAAGTATACTTCAAGAAACGTAGTGGCAATAAGAACAGAAGTGCACGCAATGTAAATAGTCCACAATATAAATGGCTCCTAGATACGCTGGTGCAACAAGGATTGATGTCAGCAAAGGAACAAGCACTTATTTGCCAGAAGTGCTACATGAAGTATCTTCGGAACAAAAATCAGCCTGAACCTGAACCCGAGCAGAACCAGGAAATAGAGGAAGAAGACGACTCCCCGTCCCATATCCTGCCGTTGCTGACCCTTCATGATCTTTTGAATGGATCATCTTCACACAAAAAATGCTGTCTCTGTCTTGTTACCTTTGCAAGAAATGGAACAAAATCATCAGTCTTACCAAAACGTGCAAGACATCACCTGATCTATTCACACAAACTGTGGTGTCCCACCTCATCCCGCGTCTGCTCCATTCACCTTATTGGTAACGACTTAGATCCGTTCGACTTAGTTGTCCTTGATGGTAGAGGTTCCTTGGAATCTCAGTTACCATCAAAATCGTCCAAAATCATTAATGACCTCCTAGAGGTGTCGCACGTCCTTTCACAGAACCAGTCTGCGTTTACAATAAGCTTTTCTTCTCTTGATGACTCGGCATGCATGGCCTGGACAGGTTGGTCCAAAGATCAGTTCCTCGAAATCCACTCGGACTGTTCCCCATATCTTTCATCTGGTATATATACCAAGACTACACACGATGCTCTATTACTGTTCTGGGTAAAACTGAAAACCGACATTTCCTGGAGTCAGTGTTCTTCTCTTTTTGGAATTTCCAAGTCAAGTGTGTCCAAAACTGTCCACTCCATAGTACAGGCATTAGACACATCTATAGTCTCACAATTTCTAGGTCAGGATCTCTTGACAAGAGAACAGTTGCTCGGGCACAATACTGTCTTTTCAGAAGCATTTTTTGGAGATAAAGCCACTGCCATATTAGATGGCACCTATATTTATGTCCAGAAAAGCTCCGACCACAAGCTCCAGAGAATGTCCTACTGTGGCCAGAAGAAGAGAAACTATCTCAAATTCATGAGCATCGCCTTACCAGATGGCTACATTCTGGACACAGTAGGACCATTCACTGGCAGCGAAAATGATGCTACAATTACAAAAAAAGTCATGGACAAGCTAGTTACTTGGCTACAACCCGACGACAATGTTGTCGTTGACCGAGGTTTTAGAGATGTCCTTCCACTTCTCGAAGCCTCTGACCTCAATGCTAGCATGCCGTCATACCTGAAACCCGGTCAAAGTCAACATTCTGACGTCCAAGCAAATCTTGACAGAACTATCACCAAATCGAGGTGGATTGTGGAATCCTATCATGGTCGTCTGAAACACTGGACGTTCTTCCGAACGCAATTGGTGTCTAACAGCTTTATCAATGTCATCGAGGCTTTGCTTCGAACCGTCACAGCCTGTCTGAATGGTATTAGAGGACCGATCTACCAGAGATCTCCAGAGAGAGATGCCAAAGATAGGCTAATGGCTGAACGTATGAAGGACCGTTTGACAACACCGAATGGTTTAGCTCAGAGAGTCAAGACAGATCCGGATCTATCTAGACGGGCAAGGTCCGAGTTTGTCAAGATGGATGCATCTTCCGTACTGTTTCCCCGTCTCGATCTTGATTACTTGAGAACCATTACGTGTGGAACGTATCAGATATCTCTGGCTCCTGGTTACATCGCCGAACATTTAAGTGATGACGGAGACTATGAGGTGTGGCTTTACCAGCACTCCCCAGACCTTCTCCGATGTCAAATACATTCTCGACACAAAAGCCAAACGAAATATAACGTTTGGATACGGTTCACCGTTTCACCCGATGTTGAGGCCCCAATAAAGGACTACTACTGCCAGTGCCCAGTTGGAGAGAGAACGATGGGAATGTGTGCGCACATCTCCAGTATCTTGTACTACCTTGGGTATTACAGGACGCTGGAAAACCCTCGACCATTACAACCACAGGTAAAGAAATTCCGACAAAACTTGAAATAGTTTTCCATGCGGCAACGGAGTGCATATGTCGAAAGTATGTTTGGGGCTCGATATGAAAGATCCCCGTTACCATGTGACTAACCAAACTTATAAATATAGGTATTATACAATCGCCCGTAGCTATGAACACTCCCGTAAATGCGAAAACCAACCAAAATCATAAGGAACACGTTTTGTTTGTTGTTCTGTCTATTTGTCAGCCAATGTCTTCAACCACGGGGACTTGTGAAGTAGCCATCTTGGATTTTTTTTATGAAAAAGTGTTTCTCTCACTTTTTTTCATATCTGTGTACATATTCTCAACATACCGAGCAAATACTCTCGTTTTTTTGTTAATTATCTAAAGAAAGTCGAAAATCGGCAATTCAACCATAGGCTAATTCAACCCAACATTTGAAAATGTTCCACCACTTACATTTTGATGATTTTTCCTCTCATCAATAGCATATTACGTACTGTTTAATAGGATAAAAATTGGTTTGCATCCAACGCCCATAAAAGGGTGTATTCTCTAAAAAACACAGTTTTTGTGTCTAAAATGTTATCATCGAAAATGGCATTTTTGAGATTGTTTCTTCCATAAAACAGCCAAATGGCGCGATGGAAACATGATTTTTTGTCACAATCATGCCATGAATGTATTCTTTACGGTGACCATCATTTGATTAGATTTTCATTAATATTTTACATAACATGCACATTTTATCAACACTTAGACAGCTTCTGAAAGGTACAACTTTGAGGAGCCATAAAAAACAAACCAAGTGACCTAAATCTTTATACTTTATAGATTTGTGACCACAACGGCATGGGCAATGCACCACCAACAGGAAATTTGAATCAGAGAAGGGGCCGTGTTGGAAACCGGCCCTTTATAAATTTAGTAAGTTTAATTTATAAACTTTGCAATGTTTGAGAAGTAAAATTAATTACAAGTTAAATTATCTATTAAGTGTTTATATTATGAACCTTGTCAATACTCAAAAAGACTACGGTGGTCATCAAGGTTACAACACACCTCGGGGACTAAAAGATCCACCAGTAGTCTACCACATTGTATCGGTAATAGTCAATCAAACGTCGTAAATCACTATTACTTTAGCACTTATGTCCTTCATTTAAATAATGATTTTTTTTTCAATCATGCTTTTCACGTGGTATTCGTCCCTCCCAAATATAAATATTCAAAAGAAAAATTCGGGGAGAAAACTTTACCTCCGTTTCCAGTGACGCACGCGAACACGACCCAGCAGACACACACGCCCCAAAGAGTTTTGTGAACAGCGTTGTAAAGGGCCGCGATGCCAACACCCATGGCGTTACCATTAGTCTCCTCGTAGGTACCATACACCACTAAACAGCCCAGGGTGGTCATAAATGCCCAGATGAAAAGTTTCAATGGCTGGAATAGAAACAAATTATATGTTTCTGTGTCAATCCGGTTTGTTAGCGTATATTACAACATTTGTTATGACGCTTAGGAACAGATATTTATTCTTTTGTCCTTTATTACCACTGAGTTGTTCACTATGGACGGAATTACTACTGTATAGAATGAAATGCTCGTTGTGTATAAACATTCGTGGTTTTCGTGGTAACTATTGAACCACAAAAATAAATAAAACGAATTTGAATTAAATACGTGTCTACTGTTTGTTAATATAGAATATACACGAAAGTTTGTAACACGAAACGATCTAAATAATAGCTTCAAACCACGAAGGAAAGCAACCACGAACATTTCGTGTTATACAGTATAGGGGGCAGCAAAATCAACATGCTTTTTTAAAATTTAATTAGATTTCTTCTATTTCCAATAATTTCTATGTGAAGTTATTTAATAGTTTTACTCTAAGTGATCCACGTACCGTTTTGATTTTGTATTTGCCTCCAGTCCTGTACAGGATATAGCCCGCTATAATTCCAATGATGTAGGGACCCATGCGACAGTAGGGTTTGATGTAGTATTTAGGGAAGTAGTCGGCAGCGTGACTGAAATTAGAGAATATACTCATTTCTTTAGTAGAAAAATATGTGTTTTCTCACAAGGCTCCACGGACTATAAATCAGATTATTATAGATCTGTTTCTTTTCCTGTTTGATATATGTCAGGTAGGAATCGCCTACAGAAAACATGATCTTCCGGTTATTTTTAAGAAGGGGGAAAAAAATAATCTTTGCATTAAAACAAACCCAATGATATATGGAAAGATAATTCAAAGAAACAACAATGGAAAATTATATCGAAATATTAACAAAGAAAGTGTTACAAAAAACGTTTGAAAAATAAAAAAATAAAGTACAAGAATAAGATCACAGACAACACAAGATTAAACAAGCATCTTTCGAATATTCGCCTCAACAAAACTTACGGGCTGGGTTTTAAGGAGAGCTGCGACGATGAAAGTTCAAAATGGACAGAAATCACGGCGCTAACTATTGTTACTTCGAGCAAAAATAGCATACTGACGAATCCTCCGATCTTTTTCGAGCTGAAAAATTTAACAATGTTATACCCATTATAAGAAATCTATTATATCAAATGGTTGGGAGATAGCTATTTCTTAGGTCCCACGAAAAGATATCAAGAACATCTTACTTGATACCATTTATCTGATTAACCCGAAATGGTTTATTGACATTAAATTAATTACTAAACTCATAAACAAATGAATCGATACACATCTTTAATACATGTATGAACACTTGTACAGTTGTATAATGAGATTTAATGAATAATGTTTGGAATTTCCCCCTTCATATGCAATAGCTATATATGTATTGTATGATATGTACTTATATTTGCTCTCATGATAAAATCGCTCTATTGGGGAAATAAAGGCTCGGTATACAGTATATTAAGGGAAAGTGCTCGACTTTTACAGCATAAAGAAATTATCTACGATATAATATTATCAAAGAATAATTTTAAGAAAATGAAACTCTATAAAAACGCACAGTTATGTGATTCGTGAACAGTGCATGGCAATTTTTGATACATATTTCATTTATATAAAGAGACTTTGAAACACTGCGACTTTTTTTAATGTTTCATAAATACTCACAAGTAAAGTGGAACTAGAAGAAGAGGACTGATGACGTAAAACTGCATATCATTGGCCAGATACCAGGACCAGGCAAAACACTGTTGGTAATTAAGATAGTACAATTATTGGCGAAATACATTGACTAGGCAGGTACTGCAGTTATACTGTGATAAATACATTGACTAGTCAGGTACTGCAGTTATACTGTGATAAATACATTGACTAGGCAGGTACTGCAGTTATACTGTGATAAATACATTGACTAGGCAGGTACTGCAGTTATACTGTGATAAATACATTGACTAGGCAGGTACTCCAGTTATACTGTGATACATACATTGACCAGGCAAGTACTGCAGTTATACTGTGATAAATACATTACCTGTAACTGAGCCCATTATCTCAGTCGAGGGTCTAGATAACAAGATCTCGCTCAGTTGCAAATAACTGATTTTTCTCGAACCTTTTAATTCGATTATTTTGCTGTAGTCTATGAGTATACTATCCCGGGAAACAAATAGATATGGCCTCCTCACTGCTAAGGCCACATATACATACTTCCTCGTAAACAATGTAGTGTAGATAGTATTTCATCTACAACACTAGGAATCTAACAACATCAGAACAATATATATATAACGACAAAACATAGTGTTGATAACGCGGATTGTACCACTTAGGACCAAAATATAAGTGGTCCTTTACTATGGGGTCATACTAATCATTTAGACGGCTATAGCTAGTTAACATAATGTTTAATTGGTATTTAAGTTTATTATTTAAAATAGAATGGTCTCTAATATAGACAATACTTTCCCAATATTCATTATACAGGTTGACCAATGCTAAAAATGGCAGGTAGAAGTAATTGGCTCAATAAAGCTTATTTTGAGATATAAAGTTATTAAAAGTTGGGGAGCTTCTTTGAAACAACCATGGGACAATATTTCCTTATTATAAACATATGTAACACCCCAACTCATACCTGGTTCTCTTCTAAATCCTGGTATCAAAATGTTACACCCAGCATGGCTGCCATTTTCTTGCACACAGAGGTAGAAAGCATGCAGGTGAGTGATACAGTGAGGTGGCAGTCACATGACCAACAGGTACTTTACATAGGTCACAGGTCACAGGCCAGGTAAACATACACAGAAGCACATGGGACTGTTGACATCTGAACACATGGACAATGTTACATACATGACAGTACCATACAACACTATACCATACAACCTATGACATCATTACTTTAAACATTACTGTCACACTTGATATACTATACACATATTATGGACATTACCTAATGGTGGGAGTTATATATTTTGTATGTATTTCTGTAAAAACCATGTAGTTAAAACTGGGAAACACCAGACAGGCTGTCTCCGCCACATATACGTCATAGGCTCACGAAAATAATCTTATCATACCTTTATGTCTTACATACACAAGGGTTTCAGCGTATGAAAACGATAACAATACCGATTTATCAAATTCAGCAACAAATAAAGAAAGAGTCCACGACAATGGTTTAGTATGCGATTTCTCTCTACACCACTACATGCGGTGTGTGGTGGGACTGCCTGTTTATTGGGTAGTGTTGTACATACATGTATATACGCATTGTAATGATGAACCGAAAGTTCAAAGTAATAAAGAACCAAATTAAACAGACGGATTGACGATCTGTCATGTTATCTGCTGCTCCTTTTTTTTTATTCTGAAACGCCACTTTATCGATCGATAGAAGAAAGATAATTAGTTACCTCAGGACATGGCTATTATGAAATTCTGACATTTCATAAACCAACATCAAAAATCACATATGAGCCCTGAATCCCAGCCAAGGACCAGCGTGGCTTGAAGATATAGCTCTAACTCCTAATAACCGAACTTATTACATGTAGGAGCTTTAATGTATTAATGCTAATGCCTTAGGAATCATGCTTCATTTTTCAAACAAATGTTAAATAAGGGTAATAAAATTCACGCTTCTTTTTTCAAATCCCTAAGCGGCACAGAGCGCCGCATGGGTTTGATATGTAAACACATTGTCCACTTTCGGTACCTCCCCATGTTTAAAAACCTTCTGGGAAATTTAGGCTGCATACTACAAAAATATGATAGTAAACCCCTGCGATATCCGTGTTTATTACATTATGCAAGTGAAATATCATTTATTCTCTATTTGATAAAAGATATCTTCAATGCAGTGACGATATACAAGATATTCTATCTTCACATGTGAAGATATCGTTCTCAAGAATGTCCAATCAAAACGGTACATTCTAGTCAACGCGTAGATTCTCAGTTTCAAGTTTAGATGAAGCGACGGCAGAATAAGTGGTTTTATGGTTCCGCCTTTGCAAGATACATTATTGTATTGATATAAATGCATATTTCATATAATTTCTGTTTGGGAATCTAACCAGCAAACGCCAGAATTACAGTGAGAAACCCATTTAAAATAGTGCTCTGTTTTGTTGTTAAGCGTGACGTCATTATAACCTGGCTACGAAAATTACGCTATAAATTCCTGCGCTTTTCTGATGTAGGCATATTTGCGTTGCGGGACGTGAAAAAATGTAATAAATAGAAAAAAAAGTACATATTGTAAAGTTCCACTTTTGAAAAGAGACGGGATTCCAGCTAGTTTAGTCTCCGCAATAAACATCTGAGACACATACATTTGATATTTCTCTCCTCTTGACAGTCTGGCATACGGGACATGCTACAAATGATCCAACTTAAGTTCATGTATATCATGTAAAACAGGTTTCGTCAATTAGAATAAATGCAAAATGAATAGGTGAGAATATATAGAATAAAACAAGACCAAATATGTCGTTAATTAAAAACCAACCGTACAGTTGATCATTGATACACATTACCCCTTAGGGTGCCCCTTGAACCTTTTCAATTTTCTGATTTTAAAACACAAATTTCTCGTAAACCACTCGGATTTTGTAGGTTATTGTTTTACAACCAACACCTTAAATGTCTTCTTACATATAAATGAAATAAGATTTGTACATAGTGTAGACATTAAAAAATACAAAATGCACATTCTTTATGTTCCTTTATCGACAGTATAGAATATCCGAGAATGACAGCTGTCTGGCTATATAATCAATATGCTGTCTTATATATAGAAGTTAATGAATCCCGTTCTCATTAGCTTTGATAAAGCGCATTCAATTTTATCAGTTGGTTAGTTTTATTCTTCAGAGTTGTCTTAAAATACGCGAAAATCAAAACTGAAATGAGCCTGGAAATCGATGATATTTCTTCTGGTTGTCATGGTGTGGTGGACAAACTTGATGATTACGTGATCCAACATGCTCCGCCCCTCATTAATATTCATGAATCAAAATGCCGAGGGCACTCATGATCAGGGATGCTGTGAATGAATGAATCAAATAATAGGATAAAGGAGGTGGTATATCAGTACAGAATGGCAGTAAATAACAAAGAAAATGTTGCTGAGTAAGGGTCATAATAGCCCATCCTTTAATCATAATTTTCAATAAAAACATATATAATAAGAGTATTGCTAAAACAATTGAAAATTGTCTAATATTATGGTCCTTAATTAGTGTTTCAAATCGATTGAAATCCTTCAAGGAATGAAGCTGCTACAGCGCAGACAATGATCTTTATAAAAATAGTAACAGTGACATTGACCAGACAGACAACCCTGCAAACCAAAACTTAGGGGAAAGTTAAAATTTACGATTAATTTTTTTTTTTTTTAAAAACCCCATGTCATATAGATAATATAGATAAATATTTATGATATTATTATTACACTGTACAATTTATTATTATCATGATTAATTATACAAAAATTAAAACGAGATTGTATTATTTCCAGTGCGTGTAATCTCTCGATATTGTAACGAAGGTTAAAGACCTATATACTTATTCAGTTTCTGGTTAATGTGAATAATATGTATAAACGGTTTAAATTTTTTATATTCAATATGCTATATTCACGAAGCACTTGTATTATACTAATCGGGCCATTATCTAGAGACTGTATTTGGAAGCTATCTACAAACTCGTTAGGCACAGCTGCTGTCGCATTGGGAAGCTTTCTATAAACTCGATAGGCAGAGCTGCTGACGGCTGCTTTAGTATAAGTCAGCATTCTCTTTCTCTTGGAGACTTTTCATTGAGACAAAGAAAACACGAAGCCTACTTTATCAAGGACAGTTATCAAACAGTCGTTCAACAAATCGCGAGCATGAAACTACGCAATGATGGACAGGGGGAGAAAACTCTTATACACACACTTAAGAGTATTGGAATACGAGGCGTATTAACTTGAACCAAATATAGTTCGGAACTTTCACTGATTTAAAACGCTACTGTTAAAGATCTTTATATATTTTCTTTGATTTTGTTTGGTCTTATACAGATATATTGTACCATATTAAAGAATTGAACATATCATGAAATAATGAACACATTATCTACAGATCTTTCGCGGAAGGAGATAAAGTGTTGTAATTTTTTTTTTTTTTTTTTTTTTTTTTTTTTTTTTGGGCAAAAAAAGNTGAGATTGATATAGTTCATGATACTTACTGAAAAAACTCTCCTTTTCGTAAAACTGTAACATTTTTTCTTTGATTTATTGATCGTTTTCATATGTATTTCATTATTTTATAGCATTAATCATACTATGAAATAATCAACACAGCATTTAAATATGTTCCACGGAAGAAGAAAGTCTGTTGTTTGGTTCTGATTTGCATAGGCTTGTCGAGGACCGCTATGAATGCTGTACACAGCATCCAAAAAATGTCTCTCATTTCTCCATATGAAGCAATTTAAAAGATACAGTTTCTTGCCTTTAGACAATTACTGAGTAACAATATTGCAACATGTGAGGTTATTGAGCGTGACAGAATATTCTAAATCTTAAAATTAATGCCAGTAATACCCAAAGAATATATTCAAGGTTGCAGAATCTGTTCCGCGTGGGTGTTGGACTGTCAGTAAGTGATTTTCATCAAAAGATCTGGTGTCCAGCAGCTTTCCTGCATTTTCTTGTTTAATTCAAGTTTTAAACTTTTACTCTGCACGTCGCTTCAATAATCACAGCTGTGATCGACGGTCCCGGTAATGGTAACGAGGACGGTATGTTTCCAAAGTAACAAAAAATCAAGCAACTTTCCAGAATATAAAGATATTATAGTACTATACTAGTACTCGGGAAGAACTACTTCTTAGAATATAGAAGACTTACGGCCAACTAGATATTTTTTTCAATAATTGTATTACATTCTATGACGCTTTCAATACATTAAAGAACGCAAATATTGTCAGATGATCTTTAACACTTGGTCTGTAAATCGTCGAAGCCAGTCCCATTATCCAAAATCAACACATATTACACGCATGTGGATGTGACGGTATTAAAGGGATACTTTAGTGTCATGTCACTGTTGTTAGTCTATTGTCAAGTATAAGAGTGAGATGTTATGTAATTATGTAGTTCAACTGACGAGGCTGTGGTAGATTAAGTATGTGCTATAACATATATACATCGTGATTACTTCATAACTAATACAAACAAACGACAGTTTCAAGTACCATGATATGATAAGTAACATGTTAAATGTTGTGGAAGACGGAAATTACGATAACGTTCTTTTGGTATGTAAAACTACTGTGTAATTTAAGACATCTTCAGATCAGTAAGTCCATTTTAGCAGTACTCATGGTTATGTTGTATATCAGTAATACATTAAAGTCTGCCAATACTATACATATTCCCTGTTAGTGTAACAGTCATCTTGCTGATTTGGCGCATCATTAATGCTTATTCGATTCAGCAAGTCTTGTTTTCGCAGTATAAGATACATATGGTAAATTTGATTCAGTCAGCTCATCATTAGTCGCCCTCCTGCTAATGTTGTCGTACAACTAAAGGTTAATCCTCTCTAGCACAGTTCTTGCTGGTGTGGTACAGTTAGATACTCCAGCGCTTCTTTGTTACCGTTTACTTGGCAGACGGCAGGTTTCCACTCCGGAGTTGGTACTATACTAGCTCGAATGCGCTGAAATAGAGGTTGTGTATCATGTACTTATATTGTATGCATACATAAAGGCTCCTAATTTATTTTAACATCCACTAAGTTCATTAGTGACAGTTGTGCAATCAGTTTTTCAACTTTTTGTTTGTATGATGAGGTAGAGATTTCAGCTGATAACATCCTAAACTATCTGTGTACGACGTCACCAACGATTAGATGAAATGGTGTTTTCCCTTCACAACATGTCAACATAGTCAGTTAATGACCATGAACGCACTTTTAACAGGAGGTCATTAGCTAAGTAACAATTTCATTCAATAAGTGACCTTGTTCGTGATAAATATAGTTAAGAGCTGTTACGTGTGATTCCGCGTCGAATCCTCGTGCTCTATGCTTATAAAGTAGATATTGTTTTTGTGAAGGCCATGCTATCGAAAGGTTTAGACGCGGTATGAATTATTCACTATTTTTAAACTTGCGCAGGGGAGGCAAGATAAATGGGTTGGCAACACTTAACCAATCATTTTGTTATCAGTGAAGTACATTTTAAGTCACGATTTGTTATTTTACGAAGTTGGTTAATAAATCATATGAAAATATAGATAGATATGACAACCGTTCCTTCTCAGTTCATGTAACTCGATAAATATCGGTTTATGAAACGATCGAATGAACCGGAAGCTTTTAATTTTCGCTCCTAAATATATGTACATATTTTTCTGAATATACGGCTTTGTCATCAAAATGATTGCCAGGTAAGGTATTTATATAAATTCTGTATAAACCTGTAATAGCCCTCCTTTTCTTGTGTACAATTCTCGAGCTATGCCAACCGGTATCGGGACAAGAGAGGCAATCGCTATCACCCAGCCAACACCAATGGACCAGTCAGGATAGCTTTGCTTGTCGTATTTCACATGTCCGAGTTTCACAACACTGAAGAGCCAAATCAACTGAAACATTTTGTGAATATTAAATTACTTAAAACTATATATACTGTAGCATTGTAAGCATATGTTATTACTTGATAACAAGAAACAAAGCAGAAGACTGAACATGTAATAACAATAACAATTCGAGGTTCTTATATACCGCTTTATCACAACTTAGTTAAAAGAGTATATACTTTTTAATAAATACATGAATTTTCAAATATATACATGTAACCATAATTTTAAAGATGTACACAAAATCAATAAAAAAAACCTCTAGCTTTTGAAGAAAATATACACTACAAAGAAAATAAATTCAACACATTAGTATCTTGTAATTTAATACATTTTGAACGCAAAATGTACTTTCTGAAAAGTCGACTTACGAAGAGCATAATTGGTGCTACAAATCTCCACATAATCTTCCATATAGCAGATGGTCTGTATCCGATCATCATCTCAATATCCCTCAACAAACGATCTGATCCTGTACAGAAAAACCCCCATTAAATTCATTAAAAGCCTGCGCTTTATTTTTGTAAATTTAGTATAATAAAGGCGCATTTGAATTATTTTTTATTTCTCACATAAAAAATCTATAAACTGTAATTGAAATTTCTCAAAATCATCATCCAATATGTCTTAAAATCAAAATAAAATGTATTTTTTTTATCTTATGAAAATATCTTTTCCATCGAGTTTTCATCATTTTACACTGAATAACGTACATCAAACAAAATAGTATGGTAAATATAATAGACATGATACTTTGTTTAGTTTGCTTTTTTGTTTGGGGTTAAACGCCATCGCCAGGGTCATACAAGGAGGGTAGGGTGCACAGGGAAACACAACGGATAAAGAAGGTAGATAGGAACGGAAGAAAGAAAGAAATAGACACGATGGAAAGGAAAGGAAATATCCAAACTGTTACAATATTGGCAAAATATTATGGTCTTTTCTGGTCAGGAACCCTCAGTAGTCGCCTTTTACGATCATGCAGTTCGATGCATTACGCCTGTTCTTTTCCTGAATTAGCATGGGTTTTTAGATATGATGACATCATAAGCCCAAATGTTAAAGTTTTTCACTGAACACATGCAGGTTAATTTTGCAAAAGTCTGAGTTATGCCATTCGCACTGTTAAGAGAGTCGATGTATAAGCAAGGTTTACGAACATGATAAGTCATGTGATATTCCATTAAAAACAATCTCCAGGCCGGCATTTACACCTACCACTTAAAATCGAAAATATAAGAGTAAACGTGAAAGCTGTGTGAAATCAAAGCTTCCTACAGTATAATGCTTATTTTTGAATCCGATAGTTCAGACATTAAAATTGATATCCTAAACTGAATTATTAATACTACAAAAAATCACCAGAAGATCTAAACAAACACTAAGTAATTGTAATTGTAAGACAAGTCCCAACTATATCTGTAAGCAACTGACTTGATAAATACTTCTTAATTCTAACCATAAATTCACTAAGAAACGATATAATTCTAAGCATTGAACATCCACTTTACTTACTTAAATGATCCAAATAAGTATTAATTCTAGCCATTTATCGCCTATACATATATGTACATACCTTACCCAATGAAACAATTGATTTTCCTATATAGGATATCCAAAATTCCAACAGTAAACAATGAAATATTGGTTAATGTCTGACCTTTGACACCCAAACATGGACTACAGGTAACCCATGAAATAATGATAAGCTCCATACACTCAACAACCGAACCACCCACCGTTATCCAATGCAACATTTGTTATAGATTCTAGACATTGAACATCTATAATATCTACTCAGTAAATATGCATATGCGATTGCTTCCGTAAACCGATGAAATAACTATTAATTCCAGATGGTCCACATATGTACTACTTACCGTAAATCCATGCAATAACGATCAGTTCGAGAAGGGACAGGAGCATAACAGAGATACTAGCACAGTACCAGTCTATCAAAGTCAGAACGTATATTCCGCCCTGCAATATTCAACAAAACTAATACAAGATGTATGAAAAATGAAACGAAATCATACGCTATTTATTAGATAAATCTGCAAACGTATTAAAAGGATAGAATTATAAGTCTTACAAAATGGAATATTTACATTCATATTTTTGTCATGATATCGAATTTAAATTGCGCGTTTGCCCTTCGAATTTCGAGGATTTTCAAGAAGTAATACAGCAACCAGTCAGTATCGGCTAGGTATCTCAAAGGTTATGATTATGAAGACACACAAGAAGTCATGTTCAGCATGACAGCATGATGGTTTGGTAATAACTATACAGCTGTATTACGCTGATGCTCTTATGGCATGAATTTTGTTTTCATGTTTAATGGCTAAAATTTACTTTAATGTATTAAATATCGGTAGTTATTGAAGCTAGATTCAACCTGGTCGAATTCAGATCAAATAATACTTGAGAAGTTTATTGTACTTATTCAAGTAATATTTGTGTAACTTATTTGCTGTGACCAAACAAATCAACTGATACTTGGCAAACCTAGTTTTCAGAGAAATTAGCGTTACCCTGTTTAATGTTACATTTGAAATTAAACTTAAATAGTAAATAACCTGAGTATACACAACCAAACCGAATTAAATGTTACGACATCACAGAATTAAAATATCATTTTAAATCAGAAATTTAGATCAGTGACTGTAGACTAAACATCTTCACAGTTTTTGCTTACATCAGTTGAAAATAGAAATAACCCATTATATTTATGCAACGCGATCCATTAATCGGTAGCAATTATTGTCACTGTACCTGCATAACACACGGCATTCCTAGGAAAAAGCCAATCATACACACACATGCCGTCAGTAAGGGTTTTCTGCTCTGAAATACCTTCGGGAAGTTGTCTGTCAAAGCTCCCGTAATGGTCTGAACATGAACCATCTACAAAAATTGATTTTCTGCAAAGTTTAAAAATCAAGATAATCTTTATAGAACATGTTCATACATACAGTCGAACCTCGTTATCTCGAAATCTTTTAACTCGAAGACCCCGTTTATTTCGAAGTATTGCTCTGGTTCCGGCTAAGTCTCTTCTTTATCTTAGTAAATAAAACTCTGATGATTCGAGCCCTGAAAAGTCGAAAATCTCGGATACATCGAAGGAAGATATTGGTTTCAAACATCCGTCTACTTCATAATGTTCGAATTTCATTTTGTCAATTATTAATTCCTCATACAAATAAAACGCAACAGTACGACATCTCGCCATTCCGTGTCTGTGAACATCTTTCGCGAATAGACTTAATCGGTAAACAGAATTTTCGATAAAACTTCAGACTGTAAAATGTGGGGACTGTCAAAACCATGTTGTTTATAATAAAAACAAAAACTTCATCAATGTTGATCAACAGTATTCTGTACTTACTGCGAGTCCGTTTAATGATTTATACACCCAAACAGACGACAGTGCAAACCGGAAAATAGGTCACAAAGCGTGGTCATGCATAAAAGAGGTCAACAGTTAAAATTACAAAGACAGCTTCACGGGTTCATGTTTTTACAGGAGCCAGCATGGCTTTGATATTCGATCGGGAGATTTAAGAACAATACGATAATTGCTGTTGATTACGTCGAGTTGAGGAGGTGTCAGGAGTCACATTTAGCTTAATGAATTAATGTGTTACATGCATAATATAATATGTTTGGATGTGTTTTCATTTACAGAACCAACTATGCGTACGCTCCATTACAGTGATTTGTTTTAGATTTGCGCACTTTCATTTCCGTATTGTATAGTAAGAGGACGAAGTCAGCGGGATAGTAACCATGAATCGAAATTAAATTCCTTTATTATTACACTAAAAATGCTTTTAACCAATTGATGCAAGTACGAATATAAGGAAAATGTGGTTTGCTATTGCACTGCTACCCAATGTGACGAGGTAATCTTTGTTATGTAAAGATGAATGTATTGTCCATGGATCCAGGTATACACAATGTTAATGTTACAGGTGTCATAAACATCACCTGACTGTCCAACCCGACGGTAAACAGCATCAAGAAAAACAGGACAGACCAGAGTTGTGGGAGAGGAAGCGTCGCTAGAGCTTCGGGGTAAACCATGAACGCTATACCAGGACCTGTAAAACGGGAATGGTATAGTTAATATGTCCGCCAGTCATTTATAACTTTCCACGCTTTATTGGATGGCTTTTCGTTGACATTGGCCGTTGACATTGGCCATCTTACTATCATAATCTAAAAGAAACTTGATATTTGCAAGTACATATTTAGTAAGTGTCTTCAAATGATTTTAACAACGATTTCAGATGAAATCATCAGGATCTGAGTTCACGATTGACACATCGACATAAGGAAGGAGCAACATTTTACGGTATTGAAACATAAACATGTATATACTAAACCGATATGGTAGTAAATTACCACGTACTTAATAGGGTGATATGTAAGATAAATCATCTTATCGACATTGGAGATTGCTTTCTCAATGTTAGGATAACGATAATACTTTAATTAAATCATGTTAGTTAAAAAATATTTTTTGATACATGTGTGGAGGATTACTTTTTTTAAATGATAGTGTACTTGGTGTAAGCTGATTGCTTTTTTAATCCCGCTTTTCCAAACTTTAAACTTGAAACATGCAAATTCGAAAAACCAGTATGATGCAATGAAATAAAGAAAAAAATGTATCAAAATAAATAGAATAAGGCCTTTTATTAGTTGCTTAAATGAACGAACCGCGAAATAAAATATGAACATCGTGCCACATTTGGTTTTTAACTTACAACGTAAAAGTTCAATTTAAAAGTATGATACAGAGTAATGAAGTAGAGAGGCCATTAACGAAATATACACATACTGCAAGCGTACTCATTTTAGCGAACTCAAATTGTGGTGCGTGTCGAATTTAAACAGATTAGGGCATTGCTGAATTGGCTCGCCCACAAAATATGCAACACAAAACAATATACTGGAACTCCAATTAGAGCAGTCATAACTAAACAATAAGTGTAAGCAGTGGTAGAATAGGACTACCGTTAACATAGGTACGTTACCTATTACTTAGAACAGGCAGCACCTTGCTAACGTAGCTTAGATGCCCGTAAAGTACTAAGAGATACAATTTGACACCTTACAACATGATATTAAAACTTATAAGTATGATATCGAAAAATACAATACACAAGGAATGGAAATGTATGTTAGCTTATAACTTAGCACAGGTATCAGTCATAACAATGTTGCTTAGATGAACGTAACAGAGGCATAATTTTACCACTGTTTCAATAACTGTTCCATTATTTTAACATACAGACAGAAAGTTAAATCTATAGGTGCAATATGGACACATATACAAGCGATTGAAGATGTTTGTTAGCCCAGTCAGTATTAAAATAGGTACCACGAAGTATATTTGACCACTAAAACAACTATTCCGATATGTAATATTACAATCGGTGATTCAAACTTAAAAGTATGATACCGATATATATGTAGGCCTTTGACTAGGATAAAGATGTAAACTTGTCAATAAACATACTTACCACTGGCCACTACTTCCCCAATGTGTACTCCGGCTTCGTTTGCCATGTACCCGAGAGTAGCAAATATGACCATTCCAGAAAACCAGCTTGTAAATGCATCCAACAAGGGGAGCAGTATGGCATCCCTGAATGAAAATAATGTAAACAACCCCTAGTGTTAGAGTTCTGTGATAAACTTTCAGGTTTCATCGAAGATGAATTTAAACATGAAAGTAACATATTACTGAATAATTGATAGTTTGGCACTGATTTAGTCAAAGTGAAGCTAAAGCTGTTCTGAGGGTAGAAGAAATCATTTTATGGGTAAGAGTTCATTTAAAGGCACGATACATTAACATTACGCTGTGGTTTCGCCTTCAAGCTGGAACAACACAACAGCATCTTAAGCAAAGTAATTAGTAGAACAATACTGAATACCATCGATGCTTTCACTGGAATGTTCGCTTGAATTTGTCAGGTGTGTTGATGGTGGTGTCAAATTTCCTTTATTTATTGATTAATTTATTGATTTTATCTTATTTACAATGTATATAAACAAGATACACATTTATTATGTTCTCAGAGCGTTTCTCCGTTCAAAATTTTGTTTTTCGTTTGAGATTTTCTAGATTGTGTGTCTGTTATCATTTCTCTTGCAAATTGAAATCCCAGCAAATACTCCATTATCTTTTTTATTTACAATAACCAAAAAAAGACCGAGACAATACATTTCATTGAGAAAATTCTTCGCCATAGTTGAAATTACCTATAACAGTTGTTGTTGAAGTTGTTGTAGCTAGCTAGCGTGGCCATGCCGCCCCATCCTAGGCCTGCTGAGTAGAACATCTGAACAGCCGCATCACCCCATACCTTCAAATACAAACATTACGTAGTAACTGGTTCACGTCTTAAGGATGTGTCATCATACTAAAATATTTATCAGTTTCATAAAAGAGTCCATTTACAAACAAAATATGTTTATATCGTTTAAGAATGGTTTATTCCATCCCAATTAAAAAAAATATGTAGCAATATATTTGAAATGTATTTTCAGTGACCATTCAGTTCAACACGAATATAGGCTTGAAACCGAGAAACAATCCAGGCAATCCACCAAGGATCAAATTTCAGGCAGTCTATAACTTATCGCGAATTCTGATAGATCTGACCTCCTGTGGATATGAAAGACAATAACCACTGGTGTGATAATCTAGCAGTCCATTTGAGTTTATCCTACCGACAGTTTACTGAGGCCTGACCAACACGAAATCCGATAAAGTATATCTTACCGACAGTTTACCGAGGTCTGACCACCTAGGAATGAGGAAGAACAGAATACCATCTTTAGATCCTGGCAATGTCATTCCGCGAATAAACAATATCAGAAGAAACAGATAAGGAATCGTAGCTGCTACGTAGACTACCTGTAAAACATGGATACCTGTAAAACATGGATAGATCTCTGCGCAATTTTTTTATTGAAAATGTGGTAGTGATACATTATGTTGCATGACAAGAAGCATACAATATACTTTCATTGGGTTTCCAACAGCATTAAGGAAGAGTTTAATTTTGGATCCCAAATCCAGTATCATGTATATCATTTCGTTAATGAACGTTTGACACGCTTACAGATGTACCGTACCGTTTACTTCGTTTGTTTTAGAGATAATGCTCCCTTTGTCATTTCTAAACAAATGTTGGACTTTGGAGAATACATGATAATTTATACGCGTGTAACTTATTTTTATTTTTTTATTTTTAACTTAGATAAAAAAAAAAAAATGTTTAATTTAATTTATATTTAATTAATAAGAAAACATTTTTGTAAAATCCATTGTCATTTACATACTACTATATGTAGTTATGCTGCCGGATTGTTTTCACATATTACTGTACCACGTGTGATTTTCGTCATTTATTATGACATGCAAGTATACTTGTAGAGGTATCTACCTTGCCGGAAGTTTTTATTCCTTTGATAAGACAAAGGAACACAGCGAGCCAGGCGGCAAACAATCCAAGGGCAAGCTGCCAACGAATACCGCCCATCGTGTCTATGTTTTCAGATATATCAAGGACGTTTCGTCTAGATAAAGATATGCAATTCAATTATCTTTCTATTGATCAAGAACAAAAAATTCCAGTAGTTATTTGTTAAACTTCTTATAAACAGTTATAAACTTATAAACTTCTTATAACTTATCTAAAATAATTTTCAAACCTTTGATTAAAAACAAACAAATTTGATTCTCCGACGGCAATTCATTAAATTCTGTCACAAGTGTCAGAAATCACATGAAAGTTATATATGATTTGATATTTATATTACAAACTATCCATGACGTGAACGCCTCGTGGTAGTCTCCAGTTGGTATACTGGCAAGACATTGGAACATTACACTACCAAGAGCACAAATACTGTCAAAACGTTCCTGTGACCTATTCCCGTTTCCTTTACTAAAGAAAATGCTGTCTGGAAAATGTAGGCATAAATACCGTTTTCCAGACAGCATTTTATTTAGTAAAGGAAACAGGAATAGGTCACAGGGACATAGACCTGTATGTTTCTGTTTTGACAGTAATTGTAAAGCACACATTGCTTTGATATTGGAGCATATTTCAGATTTAGTCTTAACCTTCACTTATGCATTTAAAAGTAGCCACTTGTCATGAGTACATTATATTAAACAATGAATAACTTGTTTAATTATTGTCGGACGGTGTCAAAATGTTGCACGTGCATTGTTATTCAAATACTTTTGCAGCGTATCAAGGCGCTAAAACGTTGCCTGTTCCTACGGGAATTGTGTGCTGACAGAACCTCCTGAATGGCCCTCGTGCTGACAGAACCTACTGAATGGCCCTCGTATTTGATTTCGACGCGTTTGCATCAATATTCTAAATGAAGACACAATTTAATTCGATTTAACTCGCAATTTTACGTTGAACTACCGACTTAATGGAATGTTATGATTAGTTCTCTATTACCATATCAATATAAAGGGATTTTCCAAATATTTCTTCTAATTAAGAACATTAACGTGCCTTAGTTTTTGCTTTTGTTTCCGGATTTGTGTAAACTGTATTTACTTTTTTTGCACAAATACCTTAACCTTGCTTTAATATTGGTTATTACTTGTAAATCGCTGATATTATTAACCGATTTTAACCTTAACAAATGTAAACAGATATTGCAAGATCGTCCTAGCTTTTCAAATGACACCGATTAGATGCTACAGGTCATATGGATTAGGCATATGATTCCTGATAAAACTTATATTGTTTTTGTATATGCATATATTTTTTGGTCTTCAACTCAAACATTTTGACACGCTTCAAATTAAACATGACATCATTCATTCTATAAAGTCAACCTTCAAATCGTGCGGGCGATGTCAAACAACTCGAGATAATCCGGGTACACTTAATAATCAAGTAAACGAATATTTCAATTGCCATTGCACTATAACTTGTCTAAGATAAAAATAAACGAAGTTTCACTTGAAACACAAAAGCTCAAGATGAATAGCCTTACTGCCAGAACTCTTCACTCGGTGTCCGTGCAATCCCGTTAGCAGTGTTATTGTATGTTGATTCGTGCATGGTACCATTCACTGTTAACGAGTTATTTGCGTAGCCTACACGGTTGTAACAGTGCGGAGAATTCCATTCATTGTTACAGTGACTCCAGGGCAGAACCGACGAGAACGACATCCCGAAGTAGTAGAGCGTCCAGGCAAGTATGACATTGTAGTAGATACTTACTAAACCGGTCAGTATCACCATACCGTATCCTATACCTGTAATTAAAACCCCATTAGTTAAGCATACACCGTAATTATCAATTATGGACTTTTGACGAGGTCGATATGATGTTTTATGAACCCGATAGGGTGATATCGACCGAGGAAGCAATCTGAGGTCGATGTTACTCTATCAGGTCTATATAACAACGTATTGACAGAGACAAAAGTTTATTTTATATGACATATCATGTCATTAAATATATATAACTTGAGATATTCGATATCCAAAATATCAAGAATCAAGGAGATGTTTTCGAAACGAAATATCCTGATCTAAATATAGAAACACGAGGCCGATGTGACACGTGCAAGAATAGCAACATGGGGTTGATATGCTTTATATCGGCGAATCTAAGACCAAAGTTTAGACAATTCGAAACAGAGAAAACAAGGCTATATGTAAAAAAAATATGAATATATACTAGTATTTACTTAATGTATCAAATTTTCCAAAGACGTTCTTAAAATATCTTTTTTTAATTTGTTTAAAATATACAAAATATATTACAGTTATTGATAACGTCTATATGATTATGAATTATATTTTCTTTTTTAATTGAATATACAAGAGATATAACTCTAGCACAATTTCTGAAGTGAAAAGAGTTATGTTGGATTTCTACTATACACTCAACTATAGCAAATCTCTATAAGCATAAATATTACAAAAGGTAAGTGATATTTGAATATTTAAGAAAATTTTATAATTTTCCAAGGATTCCCAATTATCACCCGCAGGTCATATTGAAAAATACGAATATTCTGAACGTAGTGAAATAAAAATAAAATGTGATTAAAACATTGATCAAACTATGATTAAGCTCAATTAAAGAAATAGAAATACATCCTGACTTACATGTACTTATTGTACATTGTTTTTCCACATGATCAAATACTTGTCGACATATCGGTCATTTCTTTAATGATGACTTATAGATTAAATATTCAATAACATGTTGGTGATATATTTCAACCTTTTTGATTATTAGATAATTGACTGCTTTATTGATCTGTTTTAATGATTTAATTATTAATATTTTATTTAGAAATAGAACTATTATTCAAAGATTTGTTGGCTTAATGATTAATTATTGATTGATTGAATCATATGTCAATTATTATTTAATTGAAGAATTTGTTGATATATTACGAATTAATCCATAGTGTTTTAACATTCGTCAAGACGGATTTTTTTTATTTATTTGCTGTGTTTGTAGTGACAGTTTCTATGAAATACCATGAGGTCAGCTTATACATTGCTTAAGCCTTACCTTGGTAACATTTATATTTTCTTTGGTTTCTTTTTTTTCTTTGTCAGTTTGACGATGGTTGTTTTATGAGAAATTTCCGATATTTTGTTTTAGTTTCATTTTGATTCACATCTTATATACTTTCCGACAACCTTGTTCATAAAATCACATTGAATAAGACAAATAGATAAATATATTTTACCAACCTTTGAAAAGAGGGCAGCATATCCAAACTTTACCCGGTCCGAGATTGGAGTACTGTGAATACGATATCTCAAGGAACATCAGTGGTAGGGCACTTACGGCCATAAAGAAAAAGTATGGAATAAGAAAAGCACCTAAAATAAAAAGGAAATACTAATTTGTTTGAAAATCTAACCAAGGACAAGTATGTGCGAATTAATTCATCATGTCAGTTAATTCTGCGGTTAGTGTTTAACTTTTAGCAATGCGGACACGGTTGAGGTCCTAGAAGTAAACTATAAAAAGAGGCAAAGTGAATGAAATTCAGCATTTAAAAGAAAACGTCAAGTAGAAACTTCCAGAACAAGGTATGATGGTAACATTGTGATTTTACAACAAGAATGTCTCTACAGTTGATGTTTTTAGAACGCGTGTTGTATCAAATAAGTTGTGTTTTAATATATATCAGAGGACAAATACATGTACAACTAAGTTTAAAAAATAGTAAGGCAAATTAAGCATTTACCTAAAACTATGATTTGCTAAGATTATTGTTCGAATGCATTGTACTTTTTAGTAACATGTACAAAGACTATCAAATCACTGTTCTTAAAACTTGATCACATTAAATGATTTATTTTAAAGATAAAATTAGGCGAAAATTTGCAATCTATAATCCTTTTATTGAAATAGTGTTGTCTAAAATGTCAAAATTACCGTTGTCATATACGGTTAAAGTCATGTAACATAAACTTGAAATCCTGTATATAAAGAGACGGTACGTGATGGACGGTACTTACACAGATATTATTTAGGTTTCAATATTTTGAAATAAATCCATATAGAATATTTGCTGTCTTTTTTTAGTGTTAAAACTAGACATAAAGCATACAAAATGTCTGTGAGTATATTACATCTACTCTTAGAAAGGAGATTTAATAGTTAGTTTGTAAATCCATGAAGTAATATGCACTGCGAATACACAGAAAGAAATATCTTAACGTTACAACTTTACAATTTTAGATACAACAGATGATTTTCTCAAAAAAATAAATATGTTTCAGGTCGTGCCAGAATAAAACCAGCTGCATCGCAGCAAACTACAGCCAACATCGCGGAAGGATATATCACCAGCAGAGTCACTCTGTGACGTCAAATAAGCACTTCAAATACAGAGAGAAAAACATTCCATATTCTGTAACTATTAACGTTGAGATATGAAACCTGACTAGCCAACAGCCTTATTGTCAAATTTCTGTAAACCTATACGGGACAGGTGTCAAGCACTAAAAAAACCCTTAAGACTTGATAAACTGAATTTGGTGGAGCATGCATGACATTATTGGTCAGTTTCTTAAACTTCCCTCTAAACACAAATTATTTTCTCGATCAAATTGTCAGCGAACAGCGTCGCCCGCGGCACTGCTGTCATATGTTCATGTTGTCAGAGTAAATAAGATAGACTCTTGGTGTATATTTCATACTATTTGTTCAGTATATATTTAAATCTCTGAACAATCCTAAACGACTGCCACACACAATGGACACGTTGGAGTGTACGTCCTCATCATGATGGAGTAGATTTCCATTTGTTTCCCAATTTGAATTAAATAAGGTAAATCAACTGTCGTCGGTGTTTTAATATATGGTAGGAGTACGATTTTTACGATTTAAAAACCTGAATTTCATTTTGAAGACATATATCAAATCCTTTATTAATAGACTTCGTCTCAATGTCTAATTGAAAGTTCAAAATAAGAAGAAAATAATCAATGAGATAAAAATAGAACCAAAGGTAATGAAAACCAAGTACACGGAGTATGATATTTCATTAAGGGTACATTCTAAACCTCTTAACTATTGTAGAATATACCACCAATGATGCGATTGCACGACGGCTGAACACTTATTATATCTATTCGATGTAAGTGCTTCATTATAAGTCATTTAACAGTTTATTTATAGTAAGCGCAGGCGAGCGCAGCGAGCTCTTTTTGTATCGTATGCGTGGTTTATATATAGTTCAAGCAAAATTCTATATATAGTAACACACAACGAAACTACAATACTATGCGATCATTTTTCTTTACATCGTGCAGAACGAACTTTAAACTTTGCGACGCTCTGATTGGTTATTAATAAATCTCTGTGAGAATAGAAAATATGTTTCACATCGTAACTTATTTGCGTGAACTTTGCAAACGTATTCGTTATGGTTTAAATTGTTTCTTCATTAAAACGGGTTTAAAAAGTAAAGTTTTCGACGTTTTTGACGAATCAGGTTAAGTAATAAAAATATTTGTGGTCTGAAAGTCGCGGGCTTCAAAATTTGCTACATTTTGATTGGTTGAAAAGACCGGAACAGATCAACTTCGCCGGGAATAGGAACACGGAAGGGTAAAGGTCTACTTATCGACAAGAGTAGCTATGGAGCGAATTTTACCAGTTTTGACCTCTCACGGACAGGTATTATGTTTGACACAAAGGTCTACTGATTTCAATATGTGTATGTCACTCTATCATCAAGAAAACAGTCGCCAGCTTCACGAAAGCTAGACCTGTGCAAGTCTAGTCGGTTTCAGTGCAAAGGAGATGTTTATCAACGACAATGCTGATGTGCCGCCTGGGGTATGTACGCGCATAAATGTGTACATTTATGTGAGTTAAAGGTAAGTGAAATAATTGATGCTTCGCCTACTATGTCAGTTCGTGTCGGTGTCACAATACGCCCCCTCCCCGAGGCAATTTCACAAATGCAGATTTGCCAACCTATTGTTTCTAACGTAACATAAATATGCCCCTTAGGTAAAAAAAATAACACTTGAGTCTCAATCATCTTTTGAGTGCTTTCTGATGAAATCATTAGGTCTTGTCCTCAAGCAGAATAAGTTTATTGAGCAAGTTTATTGACTGAAAATGGTAAATGTCAAATGTGTCGCATTGTATGTACAGTAATAGCTTCTAGCTTCATTAATTAAACATCCATGTTAGAAGATTTTCTACACTGTAAATATTTTTGAGAAATCTTGTCTTAGAAATTTAGGAAATATATATATACATTATAATTTTGAAATATTTCAACATTTTTTTTTTTTTATTCAAGAACAGAGCAGCCTCAAGATTTTCTAAATGAGTCAACATTATTACCAGGGTTTTTGCGAGCTATTTTTGGAAAGGGTCCCTGTGAGCAGGAATTCGGAAAAATAACATCGGCATTTGCCAAAAATTGGGAAATTTCATCAGTGTCCCCACGTTAAGGGAAAATTTTACTTTTGATAGAATAAAACCAACAATGTGATTTGCAAAAAAAGAAAATCATCTAGCTGATTCTTACAGTAAAATGTATAGCAATAAATAAATACATCAATTTTCAGTGTTTTTGTTGATTCAATTACAAATTCTTGTTATTTCTGTACATTTTTTTTAATATATTTTGGATGAACAGTGTACATATGATATAACGACTGGAAACTTGTATGAACATGCTTTTAAATCCAATTGGGAAAATAAAGACTGAAATTGGGAAAATACAGGGTCATATTCTAAATATTGTAATGGATCACTTTAACAGACCCTATAAACACCATGCAAAAAATCTAATTACATAACTTATTTCTTGCACCTGTGCCTATGTGGTCTCATTTGATGACTAAATACTGGTATATGAGATAAGATTTAAATACATTGTATGAGTGTTCTTATTATGGGAATTAGAGGGTTTTCCCCTGTCAACTACAAGTAAATGTAGAGATTCAACTGGGGAGAATCTTGATTACTTTTTAAGAATAACCGTATGAACATATTTGAATTGGATTTTATGTACAAGTATATGTGTGCAATCTTATAATGCAAGTATTGATTTTTGACAATCAAACTGCAGAATCCTAATTAATATTAATGGAAAACTAAGGATCTTCGTATTTTACTGGTATTATTATATCTTAGAATAATCGCAAATTGTATAAACTTGGTTAATACCGGTGTAAAGGTAGAGGAAAAGTCCCCGGCCAGACCGGTGTTCGAACCTTCCGAACTCTAGTTGGACACTCTACCAATTGAGCTATCTGTTCGCCGATAATCTAACCAGTCCAGTTCCGCTACATGGATATATCAATTTCCAATTTGATAAAAAAGCAGAGGAGAATGTAAATATAAGTGCAAGGCAAAAACATGTAAAAAAAAAAAAAAAAAGACAAAAATGGGAATAAAACTTGAAAGAAAAGGTTAGTTGTGCTAAAAATATTTCTATTGTGTAGTGGTCATAACACTAGCCACTCTGTGGTGGTGGACCGAGGTTCAAATCCTGGTGGAAATAATAGCACAACTTGAAAGTATGTAAACAACTAATTATATAGAACTCCTCCATACATTTCTCATTACTTTTTATATTTCATATGTATCCTTCTTACTTTGTTATTTCCTGTTCTTATTCATATTCATTTTGTCTACAGACAGATAGATGCATGGACAGACAAACTAACCACATTTAAATAGTATAATTTGGGGGAGGGGTTATATTATAACCCCTCCCCCAAATTATACATTTTGTGGCCTTGTAGGGAAACACAACTCACAAGGACAAAACTCGAGTAAAATATTTATGAGGAAAAAACAAAGTAGCAGTCAACATTCTTCCCTAATGCAAGAGTACTAAATAACTTTATATATACTAATATAGAATAATAACACAACAGTGAAGATGAATCTGGCTACAGCACCATTGTTGTCTATTTTATCAACTTGTATCTCAAACTCAGACGCGGTACATCTAGCTAGCTTTTCTAGGAAAGACTCCATGTTGTTTAATTGTCACTCAATGCTGAACCAGAATTACGTGGAGCAACATGATGAGATATAATTAAACTGTAGATACAATCAAATCTTCACATCTGCCCAAGTTTGCAGAAAGTTGCAGAATTCATCATAATAATAAATAAATTGTAATGTTTAAATATGCTTGAAATATCGCTAACACCAGTCACAGAAAAAAAGGACTTTAAAAGCTTGATCTGGAAGTTTGCAATAATAAAATATTGTATATTATAAATTTGTGTCTTGTTGTGACAGGTAAAATTAATATTGTTTAGAGAGGAATTAATAACAATGTTTAAACATTTTAAAATCAATTTTAACTATCTTTGTACAATACCAGAAA